GGATCCCACTTCGGTGGTGGAGCCCCGGTCGTCGGGGACTTAGAATGAAGAAGACCGTTAGCCGGACCCCAATAGGGTTAGGCTTACCGTAAAACCGGTCAAATGGACATGACGACATCCCCAATAGGGATGTTGACGAACTTTACCCGGACAAAACCTGAAAAATCCCACAGATCGCAGGGTAACCACATCTGCTACCCATACGAACCCTCAATAAGGGATACGTAGGGTTAGCCCATCCCTGTACTAAGCCTAAACGAACCCTACGGAACGGATTCCCCGGATTGACCCGGTAATCACGGGTGCACCCGTCAGAATTTCAGTGGATGCACCGTACCGGTATGTCTTCCGAGGTTTCCCCCGGACAGAATCCGTCAAAAGGCTCGGATCCTCCGGCTACCTTTAACCCCCGGCACAGATCGTGCCCCTAACCACGTTCTGCTTTGGAGCCACAGACTGTAGGCTTAGCCATGATCGGCTACCATCACCAGCCCAGAACGGAGCCTTTAGCCTAAGCCCGCAGACCGCGGCATCTAACCACTTCTGCTACCGAAGAAAGTCACAGAGTCAGCCATAAGCACGGCTGTCCGTGGATATCTCAGCGAAGGAACTGCAGATCGCAGCCCCTAACCACGATCTGGCTACTAGCTGGACCCTCAATAAGGGATACAATAGTACGCCCCGCAGACCGCGAGTAACCACGATCTTGCTACGAGCTGGACCCTCAATAAGGGATACAGCTAGAGGCCCCGCAGATCGCCGGCAACCTCAACCACCTCGCAGATCGCGCCAACCACGATCTCTACCTCGACGCTGCTTGCAGAGACCCAATAGGTCTCTAGCACAGCTTAGCAGCTCGCGGTAAACCAGAAGGGCGGACCAGAATGGACCCCGTCTTTACAACCTTAGAGTGCCTACCTCGCGGCTTAGACCCAATTAGGTCTGATACAGCCGCAGGAAAGCCTCTTTCTGCACGCTTTTTGCTAGTCGCCCGGTGAAGACTCCCGGCATCACCGACCATGGAGGTCGGACTCCCACCAGAGCATGTTGGGCCAGTTTCGGTCGGTTCCCAATAGGAACCCCCGAACCAACAGGGGCCAGAATCGGATTCCCACAGCCCAGAGGCTCATCATTAAACCCACAGGGGCTTGGACCCCCGCCCAGAGACATCTTTTACCGGATCAACAGGGCTCGGATCCTGCCCAGAGGCCTTACATCCCGGTAGCAACCCTATCCTCAGTGCCCAATAGGTGCTAGAGGGTCACTTAGAGGGTTTTGCCCGGATGGAACCTTCGACAGACCATCAACTAAGGCTTGCCATCGGACTTAGAGCTTATACCAGAGGCTGCCAGTGGACTTAGAATTTTTCCCTTCAAAACCGGGGCCACCCTCGGATTCAACCCTTGGACCCTGGATTCGACGTCAAAGTCCGGCATCAACCCTCCCGATGTTGCCCAATAGGCGACAGAGGACCGTAACAGGGTTTTTGCCCGGACAGGTTACCCAGGACATCGCGTAACCACGATCTACCAAAGCAGCCAAGGATCCCATCGGACTTTACCTCATTAACCGAGGCTGCGAAAGGACTTAAAATTTCTGACCGAGGCTGACCCTCGTGTATCGAGGCTACCCCGGCTCAGACCCTTAAACCCTGACATTAACCGGTCCAGGTTGCCCAATAGGCAACAGGACGCGAAATTACGGTTTTTGTCCGGATGAAATCCCGGAAAACCGGTACTTTACCGGAAGATTCCCCTGTAAGAAGACCCAATAGGTCTTGTCCTAACCTAGAGAGGGAGCCTTACGGCTTCGCGTACTGCGACGGTGCCTCTCCATTCACCTTACCGTACGAACCCCGGCAACGCTGGTTCTATTCAACTTTAACCGGAGGATCCCCGGTCGGAATGTGAGTTCCATGCCCGTTTCTCACCCGGTTTGTGGAGATCCATGTCAAACCCGAAGTCATTTGGTCGGAAGTAAGTTTCGAGCCTGTTTCTTACCCGACCCTCGGTGAATTGAACCGGAAACACCGGGTATCTCGAGAACTGATGCCTCGAACCCGGATGACCGGACATCCAGTGGACTGGTGCCCCTGTGTACGGATCAGCTCTAGTCGGAATGAGCACCCGGACTAAAGTCCCGGACCAAAGACTTTGAGTTTACTTTTTTTACTCGGAATGATGTTCTCATTTTATTAGATCTGTAGCAGATCTCTTTTATTAACCTGCTCACCAGGAATTGTGATGTTTTTACTATTAACGCGAGAGAGAGAGAAGATTGATTAACCCTATTTTTTTACTTTTCGCCGTTACGGACCATCATCAACAGAAGCCTACACCGGTCCAGCTACAACACCGACCGACCTTCGGATTTCTGCCGTGAGTTGTTTCGCCACCACGGGTCCGGAGGAGAGCGCGGTGCCGTGAAGACCCACACTGGACACCCCCGAGGCGATGCCACCGACCCCAATAGGGTCGTGTGCGGAGCGGGCACTGGGACGGTAGGAGTCGGGTCCTTCGGAGGGGCTCGGACTCCCGCCTAGAGGCATGTTGGGCCAGTCGCTATGGCAGCCTACGAGTATGGCAGCTAGCGACAGTCCCGCTTCCGGTGCATGGCTCAGTGGTGCACAATATCGCACACACTCACGCCTGCACGCACTCGCTCAGTCGACGCCGAATCACTGGCCTCGACTCCGCCTTGCCACACCTACGGCTTGACGTCTCGGCCAATCAGCGTTCGCCATTCGCTCGTGTTGGATCTGCCCAGTGCCGCATTAGGCTTTTCTATGTTACGGCTCGATATGCCGCTTGTTCATGATCAGTAATCATTCTCACGCTGTGCTGTACACTAGCATACGCTTATCGAGCCTTCACGTGCTTTGTGTTTTGGTTCCTTGCATTATTGATTCCTCAATAAAGCCATTGTTCTCACACTCGTGAGCCTTTGTTCGCCAGCTGTCACACTTTGCCGTTTTAGTTTGCCGTTTCAACTTTACCTTTGCCTTTGCCGGCGGAAAAGCCGTTAGCACAACAATTTGCCGTTTCAGAACGCAGTCTCTAAAAGCCTTATACCAGAAGACTTTAATTTCAATAGCACGATAACAATATCAAGAGTTAGTTCCACTTAAACAAAACAACATTTTCTGCGGTGCCCATAACAGAAGCGGCATTACCCCTTTGAACTGCTAAAGAAATATTCTGCCTCAAAAATTCGTGGCTGCGAATCTCGCCTGTTTGTAGCTCGATCCTCTTTCCGACCTCTTTAAGCAGCTTTTTAGCTGATGTACCAAAACTTCCGAAAGTCTCGAATCCGACGGCGGCAAACTCATACCGTCCTGACAGGAAGTTGTATTTTCTCACTTTATCGGCTTCGGCCTGGTCGGCTGCCGCTCCGGCTTTTACGCTGGTGTGATCCAAGTAAGACAGAGCAACGGTGTCGACAACGGTTACATCCCACGCCAAACACAGCCCTCTGGCCCAGGGAAAAGTGGTAACACCATCTGGACGTGTGTCGTTATCGTGGTGCATGCCTCTAGGCTCCGTTCGCGCCGGGATGCCTGCTGAAACCAGAGCCCGTCGCAGAATATCATTAATGCAGTAGTGTCTGGGCAGTCTTCCAGCAGAAAATTTGCAACTCAATCCATGGTGGCCGTCAGTAGCGACTTCGGCACCACACCTACACTGGTGCTCGGCAGATGCAGGTGCACCTAGTCGAATAGCGACGGTAATGCGGAAGGATTCGTCGTCAAGTAAGTTGCCGATTGACGATGAGGGGAGAGCTTGTGTCCAAACATCTGACTCTGGTGTAGAAGTCGCAAGTAGTCGTGCCTTGTTCGTGGTATTAGAAGCCTCGTACAGCAAGGTTGCCTGCTCTGCTAGGCAGTATGGCGTATCCCATGCACGTTGCAGGTGTTTGCTTTCGGCGAGAGGCGGTGATGCGTCGTCGGAAAGATAGCTCCAAAGCGTAATGTGGTTTATTGCATCGACTCCCGTTGAGTGCGGCAGTAGTTTAGACACGAGGCTCTGGGTAGCGTGAATCGAGGCTAGATAAGCCGGCAGTGATGATTCTACCCGTCGGATGCCTAATCCACCACAACGCACTGGCAAGGAACCCTGACGCCACGCAGATGGGTTCATGCGGACATTACATATAGACTGTAGCGATTCCAGACCATCATCGGTGCCGCACGCGCTATTGGTCTAAGTGTCAACATGGCGAAATGCGAAATTTTTGTTAGTGAAGGTAGCACAGATGATCAGGATGCTGCTGCCAGTACATTCCTTAGTCGGTTTCCACCAGTTACGGTAACCACACCAGAAAATCTGTGTTTACTCAGGGCCCCACTTTTGAAGGAAAAATTGCGATGCAACATAAGGCAGAAGTAATGCGCCTTAGAGCCAGCCGTCTCGAGCTTTTACCCAAGCACCAAGCCTACTTTCTCCTAAAATGCAGTCTCTGTGCACCGAAAGTTATTCACCTGCTGCGGTGTTGTCCAACTTTCGAAGTACGAGACAGCCTTTGTGAGTTCGACGAAGTACTTAGGGAAATTGTCCGCAACTGTTTCGATCTGCCCGCCCATGGTTCCGTCGTCAAGGAACCACGCATTGAATTCAGACTTGATCGAAGATGTTATCGAAAGTATCCCCAGTGAGAACAAAAGTGGGCCAAGCGGGTCACCTTGGTGGACACCGCTCTGTGAAGACAAAACTTCATCATCGATATACAGATCGGTGTAATGACCGTAGCAGGTATACAGATAACTGGCATATTCGGGAAGATGAGCACCGGCAACCTCCATGATGGTGGCACGGGAAATGCAGTTAAAGGCGTTTCTAAGATCAATTTTGAACGCGATTTGTGTAATGGGTACGCTCCCCTATCAGGATAGCATAGAGGAAGTTTTTCTGTTATAATGACGTTCTGTTTTGGTACTAAGTTTGTACTTGTACTACGATGCTTATTAAAGGTAGCGGCATTTTCAAAAGTATTTTCACGCGGTCCGGATCACTTTTTAAGAATTCTCGCGCCGAATGGACAATGGCTTCAGATCCCCCTTTGATACCGAATCCCAGTTGACTTGGCTGCAGTGTTGTCGTGGTGCGCACTTTGACGCGACTGCAGATGACTTTGGCAGCCAACCTCCTCAAAGTGTTACCGATAGCGATAGGGCGCAGACCGCCATCTTTTTTCCGCAAAGCAATAAGCTTGGCGCCGAAAAAATACGGACGGATAGGATCAGGAATATTTCCCTTGATGACAATGTCCAACAGTTGGGCCATGGTGTTGCAAAAACTTACTGACACATCATCTTTCGTTTTCCCCATCATGTCCAGGAGATGCTGCGGTAAAAGGCCGTCCGGCCCCGCAGCGGAACCTCGTCGAAAACTGGAGATAGTTTGGCGCACTTCATCAGCTGTTACAGGCGGCGCTTATGCAGTGGCTGCAGATCTGGCAAGCAGGGGAGATTCTGGATATTTAGCTGTCATAACTTCCAAAACCTCATGCGACGTTTCGGCTATGGCGTCAGTGGACATGAGAATGCGCACGGCTCCCGAGCAATCGCCATCGTCGATCTTCATACCCACACGTCTTGTCAGTTCACTATTGGGGTTTTCTGGTTTCTTGGGCTTTTTCCTTTTTTGAGCTGGCGGAGGACGTTCCTTCCCGCTTTCAAATTCCGCTACTGCCTGTTTAATAGTGGTGGCAAGCGAAACTTTGCGGGCGCCATTTGAGCTTTCCGGAACAGCTAAAACCTGAGACGCAAAGGACAGGAGACGTTGTCCAGTAAGGCTCATCATTGTTTTGCACCACATTTTTGATGGCTTTCTCGAATGACTCTGCTCCGGCCCGACGGGCGCCATGTGGCATCCTGCGGATGATTCGCTCCTTCGGCAGCGATGGTCTGGGTGCAGCTGCAGCGGCCTGGTTAACTGTCGATGGCGCAGAAGGGGCTTGAGAAAGAACCTGTTGCGTCGCTATTGGAATCAATACAGGGTTCGGGGACAAGGTTTTTGGCCACGAACGTCTGTGGGTTCCCCATCCCTGTAATAATTTACCGCAGCCAGAACAAGAATATTGAAGGCATGGTAACAGCGTACGGCTGGAGACACACGATTTAAAGAGAACCAGGACTGGAGACTTACGAGTAAAGCCTTTGAAGTTGGAATACGAATTACCGTTAACACATTGCCATTTTCGAACTTCTCTTGTGCTGTTTTTTTCATACTTTTTATACGTAATAAATATAATTTTTTTGTTGTATGTGGAAAGATATATGTGGGAAGACTTTTACAGTCGAGTTTTCATTCATAACATGCTTACAAAACAAATTTTGAAATTGCAAGGTCAAACGAAAAAAAAAATTCTTAAAAATTATAAAGCACTTTCAATATTGTCTGACGTTCGTAAAATTTGCAACATCATACGCAATGTACGCAATGTAAGTAGTCTTGTAGTCTTGTGGTTAAGCGAGTGCAACAATGCAAAATGGTTAAGCGAGTGCAAAATTATGGTTAAGCGAGTGCAACAGCAGATGGGTGAAAAGCTTAGAAAAAAACAGCTGGGATTTGGCACTCCCGGCGGCTGTGAGACCTTGTACATACTGCCAGGCGATTTCTTACGACCCCTTCAGAAGAAGTACGAGTCCTTGTAAAGTTCGACTTTCGAAACGCATTTAAGACGATCCATCGCGATAAAATGTTACAAATCGTCCATTCTGAGTTGCTAAGAGTACGTTCACTTCATTAGCCAGTGTTATCAAAATTCAACCAGTTTAGCTTTTGGCGAATGGAATACTCTGTGACAGGCTGGCGTTCACAGGTAGATCCTTTAGGCCCTTTACTTTTTTCCCTCCTCATATTACTACTGATATTGTCTTTGGTGTCACCGCTGAAAGCATGGTACTTGGGTGATGGTGTCATAGGTGGCAGTTTGAACGACGTACTAGACGATGTAGCTAAGGTCATTGCTACCGCCAGTGAGTACGGTTTGGAGTTAAATCTCCTAAAATGCGAGTTCTTTATTTTCGGTGGTACTGTAGAAGATCGTGAAACTGCGCGACAAACATTTGTCAATCGTTACCCAGAATTCCTACAACCTACAGAAAGTGAATTGGTATTGCTCGGTGCTCCCCTTTTGCAGGCCGCGATTCCGAACGCAATCGTTAAAAGGACACAAGATCTTCAGAGACTGTCCTCAAAGCTAAGTATTCTGCCTGCACACCAGGCTTATTTTCTTTTGCGCACCTGTATTTGTATTCCCAAAATGAATTATTTACTACGACCAAGCCCAACTTGGTTGTGCAGTAACGAACTGAATATCTTCGATAATACAGCAAAATCGGCGCTAGAAACAATAGCGAACGTTAAAATGGATGGCATTACTTGGGCACAGGCTTCGCTCCCTGTTTTCAGTGGCGGGCTGGGAGTTTGGCTTGTGGCAGAACTAGCGACTTCAGCCTGTTTGGCTTCGGTTTATGCCACATCGTCTCTAGTTTCGAGCATCGCCCCTAGAACGGAGAGGCTTGACTTGGTGCACCAGTTGTGGCAAGCAGCATCGGGTGCTGAATTACCTTCAGAAAACCAACGAAAAACGCAGAAAGTGAGGGACGCCGCTGTGGTCAAAAAAGCTTGCGAAGATATCACAATCTTGTATGTAAATGATGTTACACATTGTGCGCGTTTGCTTGCAGTTGCGCGGCCGGAATCGGGCAAATGGCTGAACGCCCTCCCTGTACCTTCACTCGGAACGTTGATGTCAGACGAGAGTTTCCGTGTAGTAGTTGGACTACGTGTCGGCGCGCCAATTTGCAGTCTCCATCTTTGCGCTGACTGCCGTCTGCCTGTCGACCAGTACGGCCACCATGGACTTTCGTGTAAGAAGAGCGCTGGACGTTTTTTTCGTCACTGATCCTTGAACGAAGTATTTCGGAGAAGCCTAGTTACCGCCATTATACCGGCCGTACTAGAACCGAGAGGGACCAACGACGAGGATGATCGCCGGCTGGATGGTGTGTCGCAGTTGCCTGGGACGTGACATGTGTTGACACCGTGGCCTTGTCTAACGTCATCAGCAGCAGCATTAAAGCCGGAGAAGCTGCCAGGAAATCGGAAGAAGAAAAGTGCCGAAAGTACGAATATCTGGCACCGGAGTACGACTTCGTCCCTTTAGCTTTCGAGACTTTTGGCGTCGGCGGCCCAGCTTGTATGAAATTTTTAAGTGAGCTAGGAAAACGTTTGAAGGATGCTTCTGGAGAAAAACGATCATAAGAGTCCTGGATGCAACGTCTTAGTATAGAATTACAGCGCTGGAATGCGCTGTCTGTGACGTCCACTATTCCACGTTTTGATGGTTTAAATGCTGTTTACTTTGTGTTATAATGTTTTTTGTAAGTGATGTGCAAATTACTGTCTAATAACTAAACCAATAAAATTTTAACGTCTTGTAGTCTTGCGCCGGCAGGGTTAAAACCTGGCAGTGGCATGGCATGCGATAAAAACTGGAGACTTTGGCAACTGGCAAGTGGTAAAATCTGGCAGATGCCGCATAACATGTGGCACTATGGCCTCGTCCCGATTTCGAAGCGAATCTCGCTATGGTACGGTTGCTCGACCGCACGAGATGGCTGTATGCAGTGGCCATGCCTACAAATACGGTACGCGAAGCCACCTCGCGAGGTGGAGTTGCTGTATCGCAACGAGATTCGCTTCGAATTCGGGACAAGGCCTATGTATAAGCGGATTCGGAGCGTTTGGCCCACTGTATATTGTAGAAACTCTTGCCAATATATATGCAGTTTTCCATTAATTTAATGTGTTAACGGTATTGGCCATGCATAATGTTCATACATAATAACCTCGTTAAAACTGACACATCATGAGCGTGTTATTCATTCGAAAAATTAGACGCCCCCCCCCCGTAATAAACGCCCCCTCCCGAGTCTCTCGAAAAAATAAACGCCCAGGGCGTTAATATCGGATTTTACGGTACAATACAAAAGGATAAAAACGCTCATTTAAAAGACAATCGCGTTCTTTCCGATTTAAGACGCACACCGCTGGAATATGCCTTGTGGTTGAGCATAGGGCTTTTTTCGTTTAATTAACCCGTTCCACACCATGTGTGTTAGACCGACATGGTGGAGAACTTCTTCTGTATAGTTCGTTGTTATGGTCGTAGGTTGCTTTAAATGGTTTTGTATCAAAGAAGAGATGTTAAACTGCAGTTTGAACTATTAAGTCGTTAGCCCCACCATGTCCGTGAGGTCTGGAGGGTGACCAAACATGGTCAAAAATGACCAAACCGGGCTCCCGGAGATCTTGCTTCTCTCTACACTTACCTTCAGATCAGACAATTACCACAAAAATTAGAAAGGAAGTTATTGTCAAGCTTTGTGGAAGAGTGAAACAAAGTTTAGAGAAATAAACACCCGCGGGTCAGTTCTGGTCAACTGAAAATACCATGTCGAATTTGACACGGTTGGGATGGTACTTATTTATTAATAATCTTTTAAAACCCATATCAAAAGATAGAAAAATCGTACACGGTGGCCAGGGTCAAAAAGAGGGAGGAATTTTTGAAGCGAGGGAGGGAGGAATTTTGAAATGGTCAAAAAAAGGAGGAATTATTTCGAAGTTCAAATGAAGTACTCAGGGACTTCGAACACAGGTCACCGAGGTCGCCACCAAGATTTTCTCATTATATGCACAGTTTGAAGGGCTGAGTCAGGCTGAAGTACTCGGGGACCCCAAACCTCGCGAGGTCGCCGCCAAGATTTCCTTAACAAGAGGGCACGCTTCGCTCGCCTGCGTTCCTAACTCAAGACATGTTGAGGGTTCGATGAAACCGAACTACCAGTGACCTTTAGGTCGCCATCGATTTGCATGGTGATTCCTGAACAGTTTGACAAGCTGAGTCGAATTGAAGTACTCGGGGATCTCGAACTGGATCCCCAAGGTCGCCATCACGACATGTACCATATACGCACAGTGTGATGTGCTGAATCGAACTAAGTACTCGGCAACCTTGAACTGGGTCCCTGAGGTCGGCACCTCGATATGTACCACATATACACAGTATGCCGTGAACTGAAGTGCTGAGGGTTCTCGGACCCGCTTCACCCAAGTCGCCACCACGATATATCTTTTATATGCATAGTTTCATGTGCTTTATGAAACCACTGCTTGAGAACGTAGAAACGGGGAAATTTTCTAAATACGTTCAAATGTTTCTAAAAATTTTCACTAATATTTCTTATTATAGTTTTACATTTTCCTGAATGTATTTAATATTCTAGATAATCCTTTTCATATTCCTGACTATATTTCAACATATTTTGCGATAGTTGAAAATATATCTGTAATTATGTCTTAATATTTTTTGCACATTTTCCGATGCATGTAGCATGTGGTATATTGTCCACACTCCTATTAAAACGTTCATTTTATTCCTCGAGTTTCTCTCACATTTGTTCCTTATAGCGGGACACAGATATGTCTACTACGTACGTATTACCTGCATTACTGATGAATAACGCAGATGCAGAATTATCCAAGAATTAATATTATACAATTAATTTCATATTCTGTTTAGAAAATGAATTGCATAGTGCTTTTAAAATAACTGTTATTAAATTAACCAGGAAAATTTAGGAATCCATTCGAAAGTGCAAATTTAAATTTGAATTGAACCTGTAAATAAATTTTTTTAAAGCAGAATCTTAGTTAACATGATTTTTATTTGGGCAGTAATTGGAAGGTTAAGAGAAGTTCCCGTTTCAAATTTCATGAATTACTTTAAAATTTCGGCTCTTTAAAATAAAAAAAAATTAGGCAGCCAGAAAAATTCAAAAATTTGTATTTCTTTTAATTCGACTGAGCTTTATCTCATTTTCTATTCAGCGCTTAACACAGGCAGTTAAGGGATTTGGCCCAGTACATAGCACCAAAATTGTATACAACCACGGCAACTTTCGCTGCCGCGCACTCCTAAACACCTTTTTGCATTGCTTTATGATATTTTGCAGCCAAAGGATTTGTATAAACAGCCGAAAAAACTGTTTGTGCGCTCAACATCCGGTTCGGGATTTATTAGTGAAATGAAGTTCCAAAAGTGTAAACGCGCGGAGGCGTACCAAAAGTCTCGTCATGCACCGATGCTCTTTAAAGTTTGCACGAAAACCCACATTACTATGGTGATCGTTTTGGTACCGAACCAGCTTTCTACCTTTTTTTTAATTCTAAGTTAATTGTTAAAATTTTTGAAATTCGTTTACGAAATTTGAAAAAAATGGTAGAAAACTGGTTCGGCACCAAAAAGATCTTTTTAGTAATGTGTGTTTTCATGCAAAGTTTGAAGAGCATCGATTCATAATGAAACTTTTGGTACATCTCCGCGCGTTTAAGCTTTTGGAATTTTATTTCATTGATAACTTCCGAAACGGATGTTGCGCGCGCAAACAAATTTCACGCCTATAGGCGCTCCCAGAGTTGGTGTTCGCTCAAAAGACAGAACAAAAAAGAAAAAGACCGAACAGCGAAAGACAGATTCAAAGACAAACTGTTCAAAACAATATACCGAACCGAACAAGTTTTCTTGTCTTTCTGAAACTTGTTCATTTTAAGCAGCTCGCTCATAGTTATGGACTTGCGGGAACACATAATTTTCTCCTTCAAATTTCTACGCCTAATGAAAAATACGATGTACGTACGATGTAAGCGCACAGTGCACGCATTTGTTTTAATCCGGCGTAACGTTAACTTTGGACTGTTAACAGTTTTTGCAATCCCTTGATCAAAGAAATAATTTTGAATCTTTTTCAAAAACTGTAAATACCACAAGCTGCCAGTTAGCTTTCGAAAAAAGATATCGTTAAGAAGAAACTGTCCACTTTGCTAGCCTTTCCAGCCCTTGCAAAAGCGTTGTTAGCGAACCCGAACAGTGTTATTCATCGGGAATAGTACATCCG